GCTACCTGATCCAGAGATGTTTGAGACTACAGCCAGCTTAGTCTGGAGTCAAATCTCCCTTCTCGATCGATGATGCCCTCAGTTCGCAGGATAGTTCCCCCAGGTGGCGTTACAAAGCCGTCTGGTATAGCGCACTTTGTCGCAACACCGGCGGACTTACGGGAACTGGAGGTGCGAGTAACCCTCTCATACCAAGCGAAGGATGCCTTGCCTTGGTGGTCGGCAATTGTCAACCTCAGACAGCCTCACAGGGGGTCCCCCTGGACCCACTCGCAAGGCCATGACTCTGGACACGGATGCCTCCCTCATATGTTGTGGAGCGCACCTATTGGACGAACAAGCCCAATGGAAAATATGGCCCCTGCATATCAACTTGCCCGAACTGAAAAAGGTGCACGTAGCACTGATTCTCTTTTTACCCATAGTTCGAGACCACAGAGTCTTGCTAGGCACGGACAACACAGCGCTGGTCTCCTATAGCTACAATGTACAAGGAGGGGGGACCAGAATGGCAGATACCCCAATGGGTAGCCTCCAGAAGACTGTTTCGGCAGGCAGCTGACTTTTCGTTCATCCTTGTATTTTCAGTGATTGTTGGTTTGTCACCCACCATTGAGATTCTCTGGGGACGTGGCTAGCCGGTTGTCCTACCATTAGGAGACTGTGTACTGTTTAATCAGAGGCCTACACCCCAAACGAGGGAACCAACCAATTGTAACTTATCAGTTGTGTCTCTAAGCAGACTGCCGTTTGAGCCTCTCCGATCAGCACCACTCAAACTTTTGACGTGGAAAACAGTCTTCCTACTCGCCTTCGCCTCAGGTAGGCGTCGGGCTGAACTAGGGGCCATGTCCTTCTCGAACGGCTGAGCCACCTTTATGGACAATCAAGTTGTGATAAAGACACGAATCGGGTTTCTCGGCAGGAAGCAAATCCCAAGACGCAATCCACAATTGATCGTCATGCCCCGGCTGGCAACATTGCCAACCCGGAGGATCAGGAGGAGTTGCTTCTGTGCCCGGTTTGAGCGCTGAATTGCTACGAGAGCTGTACTAAGGAGTTGAGGCATGGCAGCAAGCACAGGTTTATGTGTTATAGCCAGGGTAAGCAGGACAGACTAGCCTCCCCGACTCCCATGGCCAGGTGGATCACTGCGACCAGGCTCAAGGTTTCAACTGTTCAGTTTCCTCGACACAGAGTTTTCAGAGACACCAAGTATGAGCGCATGAGGTCCGTGCGATTGCTAACTCATTTGCTCTTGCGTCAGGTGACCCCCTTGAGCATGTGCAGAGGGCAGGCTTCTGGAGAATGCAAACGTTTTTACCACTTTACCTAGGAGATATCCAATCCATTGAGGGTCTTTTTAGGGAGGGTCCTGTAGTAGTGGGTTAGGCTTTCGTTACTGACCCAGCCCGGACGACCTCAGGGATCCCTGCGCATAGGAGATAGATTTGTGCAGAAAAGTTTTTTCCGGCAAGCGTTCTTTGGAACCTTCAACGTCTCGCTTTCAACCTATGCCCTCATGCGAACTGTCTTTTCTTTTGAAGGCTAGTTACCCAAGAATTCAGGTCTAGTGTTCTTCGGGCATACCTGAACCCCGTTCAGCATTTTGGCTTTGTTCCAGGGACGGCACTGGCAAGGTAGGACACCATTTCTTCACTGGTCTCAACTAGGTGGTCATAGGTAGAGGGTATTATCCTGGTCTGGGACACTCTTTTTATCATTTTCGGTTAGCTCGGAAACTCACCACCTATTGACGTCTAACTCTGCCTACAGTTCAAAATAGTCATTTTGGCTGACTGGAGTCTATGGTGGGTAATTGAACGTACTGAATTTAGGCAGAGGGTTCTCAGAACCCGCCTATTTACATAGTTCATACCCACCATAGACTCGGCCTCCCCCCGACCACCCCACTTTTTCTGTAGCGTTGGCTTAGTCCTTGGTGCGGAGAAAAAGAACCAGACTGGTTGGGAAGGCAATATAGCGTTGCCTCATTACCTCGGTCATGTGGTTCGTGACGTAAAGGAAAAAATCTTGAGGTCATGGGTTTCCCCTGACCTAGATTTCTCTCACCGTCATTGGCTGAATCGCAGAATAATGCCCTACAGTTCATTTTAACTGAGGAGTCTATGGTGGGTATAAACTATGTGAATAGGTGGGTCTGAGAACCTAATTTCAGGCGTTGCTTTGTGTGTTGCATGTTCTTAGACAATGTATTTTCTGATTTCAGGTATCTCGACAGTCAAGACAATTTTTAAAATTAATGATGAAAAAGGCAGTAATTAGGATACATGATATAAATCCAATGTTGTTCAATTATGTGGAAGAGCTTGGTCAAATTAGGGTAAGGACAAATGAGACATATATTGTGTTTACTCTTGATGAAATCTTGCCATGTAATCCAGTGCTCTGTGTCTATGCAGCCCAGCACCTCTTGACAATATTAATCCACTTCCTTGACATTAACCTTCATTTCATATGCTCCATGACATCTTGATGGCATGGCTAATATATGGTATGTTTCCCTATGTCATCATCACTGTACTACCAGTACAAGCCAGCTGTTGACTTTTTCTTATAGCGTCAACCAATGAAATAGAATTGATCAGCGATTTTGTTCTTGACAACTGACTTCTGACGGTTGAGCTCATTGGCCACATTGGATGAGTGGAAACCGTGACAGATTGCAGTGGTGTCACTTGATACAAACATATAATCTCCCCACAAATGTTATATTGAATATGTATCTCAATAGAGTATACATGTACATGATATGGGTTATACTAGACAAGAAATGAAATGAAATATGTAGGTAGCTTTATATTGAAACTGTGTTGAGTTGACCTCATTGATGCAGTGTCACCAATCCACAGTAGTGTGAGAAGAACCTTTTGCGGCACTGTTTTGTCGCTCGATGAGTATTATTTTTGTGAAATGTTTGCTTTCCAAGTACAGTTGACAATTCAATATCTATATCTAGACCATCCCATGATGGCTTCCCATGAGAAGAGACCAAAGATCAAAACCAAGTCTCCACATTGGTATTGCCATCACTATATGACCTATGCTCTATGATATCACTAAATGACCTATGCCCTATGACATCACTGTATGGTCTATGACATCACTATATGACCTATGGCATCACTATATGACCTACATGTATGCTCTATGACATCACTTTATGCTCTATGACATCACTATATGACCTATGCCCTATGACATCACTGTATGATCTATGCCCTATGACATCACTATATGACCTACCAGTATGCTCTATGACATCACTATATGACCTAAGCTCTATGACATCACTTTATGCTCTATGACATCGCTATATGACCTATGCCCTATGACATCAATGTATATCCTATGCCCTTTGACATCACTGTATGACCTATGCTCTATGACATCACTTTATGCTCTAAGACATTGCTATATGACCTACCAGTATGCTCTATGACGTCACTATATGACCTATGCCCTATGACATCACTGTATGGTCTATGACATCACTATATGACCTATGGCATTGCTATATGACCTATGCCCTATGACATCAATGTGTGACCTATGCCCTATGACATTACTGTATGACCTATGCTCTATGACATCACTTTATGCTCTATGACATCGCTATATGACCTACCAGTATGCTCTATGATATCACTATATGACCTATGCCCTATGACATCACTGTAAGGTATATGCTCTATAACAATAAAAAACAATCATTTGTAATGAAATCTCGCCATACCGGAAAACATCAGTTACAATAACTTCATGTTTATTCTCTCTGAATAGAAACTTCGAGAAGATATTTTAATAATGAAGCTTTATTTCCTGTCCTGTAAAAATGCCTTGGAAAGTCGAATTCTTTTGCTGGTAATTATCATCCCAATATTATGTATAAAGAAAAATATTCACTTATTTCAGTTTAGTACATTTGATATTGCAGTGGATATCCACTAGGTTTTAACACTGATTTGTGAAGCAAAAAATACATTGTTAACTTTGCAGATTAATTTATTTTTATAAATAAGAGAAAAATAATCCCAGCTGATAATTAAGCTCTTGAGTATACAAGTTTTTTGACTGCATACTGCTATTTAAACCAAGTTCTTGAAATGTGTTTGACAATGTCAGCAACTACTGTAAAATCATTTATTTTTTCACTGACATGTACGAGTAATTTCACTGTTTTGATATTTTGTGCATATTCACTTGGTTTTTAATTTCATGAATTTTGCAGGGAAACAATGAGTTCAATTATTGTTTCACATGGATTGAATTTAGAGGATTTAACGTATCAGTGAAAATTTGTGAATAATTAATAATACATTGACAGTATATTTATTGTCTTCTCATTCTCTCTCCAGCTCAAAGAACGTCAACATTTTGTTGATAACTCTGAGATTTATTCTTTACAAGATTTGAAAGATACCAATGATGGGGTACTTTTATCTGAATTGCATGAAATTCATACAGAATTTGCAAAACATATCAAACAAGACTGCCAGGTATGCAGAGTCATCATATACATAAGTGTGAAGTAAGACTGGGCAGATCAAATAACCATATCACCATATAACCATATGCCTGAACGTTTTCCAAAGCTTCTGAGGTCATATACTATCAGCTAACTACGAACTACATTAACATTTTGGCAAACTCACATGTGTATTTTTGGAATTATTATTCAATTACTCAATGTGAACTGTTATCCTTTAGTAAGCTCATTGTCAGTCTTGACATGGGACCTAGAATCAATAGTTTTGTCACCACATGATTGATAGTGGGACCTGGGCTTGGTCGGACTAGATTGGTCATAGCTGGGGTGACTGGGGCCGAAATGACACAACATAATGGAGGGTGGGACTAAGTGGCTTAGTGCTCAGTTTTGCTGGTTTATTTATATTTATTTTTGCTGGTTATATTCATAACAGGGTGGTTGGTGAAACTAACTGGCCTGTTGTACAAGTAGGCTGGGTTAGTTGATTGAAAATTTGCTTACAAGTAAACTGTATTTAATATGAAAAAAACTGTTAACTTTGATTATGTTGTAGTTATGTCAAGCCAAAGGTTTTATATGTGAACTCTGTGGTACTGATGAGGTATTATATCCATTTGATGTATTAGCAAGTATGTGTCTTCATTGTAATGCTGTATTTCATACGTAAGTACCAATACATCTATATCTATAAGCTATGTGTGTAGGCATAGATAGCATTCTAGTGTTATTGTATTGTTTTCCATAGAATGGGTTAGACCGGTTATGCTCATGTTGCATTTATGTTTTAGCTCTGCTGCTGACAAAGTTGAAAACATGGAGCTCTTCATATTACTGATTGTCTGTCGTCATCTGGTGTCTGTAGTCTATGTAGTTTGACTGTAGTCTGTCGTCAATTTTTTACATACTTTTTTTCTTCTACAAAACCGTTAAAACCAAATGCTTTCATATTTGCAACATAGATTCTTGGGGTAGTCCTCTGTCAGATATGTTTATTTCGTGATGATATCTTCAATTCCTTAATTTTGATGAATATTTTTGACTTCTTGTTGAAAACCACAAGTCTGATTGCTTTTGATATTATACATATAGGTACCTCAGGTAGACCTCTCAGATTTGTTCATTTTGTGATGATATCTTTAATTCTCTTAATTTTGATAAATATTTTTCTCATTTTTGTAAAAAGTTATTTTTTCAAATTCTTGTTAAAAACAGCAAGTCCGATTACTTTGATACTATACATATTGTTCATTTTCTAATGCATTGCTAACAGCGAAGGTATCTCGGCCGACAGGCTGCTTGTTGGGTCATATTTTGGGTCTTATATAACCGGGTAGTGTCATGTTGAATCATGTTTGTTCATGTTGAATCATGTTTGGTCCTGTTGAATCATGTTTGTTCATGTTGAATCATGTTGAATCACATTTGGTCGTGTTGAATCATGTTTGTTCGTGTTGAATCATGTTTGTTCGTGTTGAATCATGTTTGTTTGTGTTGAATTATGTTTGGTTGTGTTGAATCACA